AAAATGTAAATTCGTCGATTTGTGTAATTTATGAAAATCATATGATAAAATTTTGGATGTGACAAATCGTGCGTCTGATATGAATAGACGTATACGTACGTACGTATTATACGTATGATAGTCATACCTTTTGAAAAAAATTAAGACTAACGCGATGATTATAAGTCAAATTAGGTTTTTTATGTCAAAAATTAGGTTTTAGCTTATACGATAGAGATCATACGTACGATTAGAAATCATGCACAACAACAGGTTTTTTTTATTGGCAATATTTTCAGATGTTTCGTAACCTTGATAACCTGTTTGTAGAATTGAGAACTGGTATGTGCGTAATTACCATATAAACAATTTTTAATTACGTATCAAAAAATCTTGTTAGCATTTTGCTAATATATTTCCTTAAATTGTGTAGATTGTTTATTGCTATTTATATATATCTATATATATTGAATGAAAATGTAATTATCTAAATTACTATCAAATGTAGTAGTTAATACGTACGTACGTAGCGGTAGCGTCGGTAATATGTATATTATACGTTAGTGTTATATTATTAAATTCTAATTCTAATTATTCTAATTATCCTAACTATTCTAATTATATTCTAACTATTCTAACTATTTTAATTATTTTAATTATTTTAATTATTTTAATTATTTTAATAATCATTATAATTCATGAATTAATAATGATAAACAATTATACGTAAATGCGTCATTGGTGTTGTAAACTATTAATTAGTTTTTTATATGTGATCCACATCAATTTAATCTTGATTGGTTTGACACTTCCCTAAGTCTGTATGTTGGTCTGTATGTTGGTCTGTTGGTCAGTATGTTAGTTTGTATGTTAGTTTGTATGTTAGTCTGTATGTTGGTCTGTATGTTAGTCTGTATGTTGGTCTGTATGTTAATCAAATTGACTAGTCTATGTTACCTCAAGGTTTCTTCTTGTGTAATACATTGATTTTGTGATTTACGCCGGTAAATTGTTACCTTTTAAAGAAGTTGGGCTCGAGAAAGATTTGTGTTCGCCATTAATATTAATGTGTTCTAATAACAAGAAATTATCTGGTAAATCCCTATTCGAATTGTGTTAAGAAAAAAAAAAGGAAGTTTATTTAATGCCCATCTATTTATTACCTGTTACAATTTTAATTATTCCACCTCTTTTAAAGTATATGAGTATAAAATACAATTTATAATGCCTTGTATATAAATGCTAACCTGCAGGTTGTATGCTACGCTTCATATAAAACAGGCGCTAGATATGCAATTATTTTTTTAAGGTTCGTACTTCGATCATATATATACTGAATTCATCATATATATAAATATTATGTATATACTGTATTACTATTTTTGTATAAAAACTTTGCATCTTGTCCCCTTTTTCTATTTCTCTTCCCTTCGACAATACTGCAATAGTGCTAATAGTGCCTTGGACTTTTTTTATAATTTATATAATTAGAATATTTACATCATCTTCATTATTTCATTATTTGTAATGTCATTAATTGGTCATTAATTGTTGATATTAATGCAACCTTTTTTTTTTATTTCAAAAATCACAAATTATATATAAGTCACGTTAATATTTGATTAATTTTCCCCCTTCGCTTTTTTCTCACTTTAACTCTTATTGTAAACCTTCAGTTGTTATATTCTTCTTGTTTATTTCTTTTCTTGATTTCTTTTTCGTATTTTATCTCCTTATACTACTTGTACATACATAATTTTTCTCTTAAAATATAACGACGGTTTATGGATATATATAGTAATGCCTTCTCTGACAATATTTATTGGGAGATTTATGCCGGTGGTTGTATTATCACTAATGGGATATACTTGTTACGTGTTCGTGTATTTAATATGTGGTACGTAAAGATTAAGATCTTAAGAACTAGAATATTATGTGAATTAAAAAGACGAGGAGATTACGCGTAACAAGGGCATGGTCGATATTTCGTTTTGATTTATTCTTATGAGACAGGTCTTTGCTCGAAAGAGAATTCTTATCGACCCGTGAAAATTTAAAAATTTATTCAATTTCATTTATTTTTTATTTTTTATTTTTTTTTGTTTTTTTTTTAATTAAAAGTTTTTGAAGAAAATCATTATTCTCACGCCCTTTTTTTCTACATATAGTTAGCAAACTAATTAGAGAATATCAATCAACCACGCAAGCTAGTAAGTTATTTTATTCATTTCATATTTTAATTAATTTAATACGCGTCATATTTATTATTTCTCATTTTCTAACTTTGTTTCAACTTTCATAATTAAAAAGTTATCTATCTGGTGATCTTTAGCATATTATTTATAATGACAATCCTGTCATACTTTCGGATATTATTTCGAAAACCAGGATCTCCCGTAAGTTTATATTCACATCTTTTGCATCTTTCAAATCTCTCAAATCTTTTAAATCTCTTAGATCTTTCGTTAAATAATTAAAAGATATTCTATGGTATTTAATACCATTTCCTCTATGTTAACGCTAATCGATTAGCCAATAGGTCCTAAACCAGATTCCATTTTATCACAACATCCAAATATTGAAAATGCCGAATCAACTCCAATACCAATACCTTCAATACCTTCATTAAAATTATCTCAACCTACTTCATCAATATCTAATAAATTCCAAATTCCAACTACATTTACCGCACATCGTCCCAACCCTGTATCTAATCCTAATAACTCTTCAAATGCGGATGCTTTGTTACCTGTAGAAAATACTTTTGTTGCTAAAAGTCAACCAACTACTGCTGCTACTACAACAAATGTCATGGCTTCTTCTTCAATACATTCGGATATCCCTCCTAATGTAGTTATTCCAATGCCAAGTACTTTTGTATGTAAAAGAGATGGAAGAGTAAGGTGGTGTGAAAATTGTAATTATGTAAAGCCAGATCGGTGTCATCACTGTTCGGAATGTAATCGTTGCATTCTTAAAATGGATCAGTATGTATTAATTGGCTTGATTATTTTATTTTAATTCTTTTTATTTTGTTTGATTATTATTAAATTTCTTGATTTTTTTATTTATCATAATAATTTAGCCATTGTCCATGGTAAGTTAATTATATTTTCTTTTTACTTCTTTATCTCAATTTTCTCAATTTTCCCATTTCTTTCAATTCTCTCAATTCCACCAATTTATTTTAATTTATTTTGAATTAGGGTGAATGGATGTATAGGTTATAGAAATTACAAATACTTTTACCTATTCATAGGTTATACTTCTCTCTATGCTGATTTCTATTTTGCCGCAATAATACCTATCATAGTTAAGCAGTTGGAGAATGCGGTAAAAGTTCTTCTATACTTTTCATCTTATATTATTATTATTTTCTACTACTATTGAATTTTCTCTAATTCATTGCTCTTTGTCGATAGAAAGATCTTGATGTACAACTGATAATTACTTCTGTACTGTGAGCATATAATTCTTTCCTAATTTATAATTCTTTCCTAATTTATAAATCCTTTCACTTATTAAATATTTATTAATTTCTTCGATTTTCTTTTAACCTACTTTTAATAAATCTCTTTTTAATAAAAGTGCGTTTATATTCGGTCTTCTACTGACAGGTTTCACCCTAGTTCATACCGCTTATGTGTTACAAAACCGTACAACAATTGAATCTCTTTCGTATAGAACTAGAACCTATAATGTGAGAGTTCAATTTGATCCTGAAAACCCGTCAAATTATGGTATTTCCGCTACGAGACCTGGTGAAAATATATGGAATTTGGGTTGGAAACAAAATTGGAAAATGGTCATGGGTGAAAATTGGTGGTTATGGTTTGGTATGTGTATTCTTGTTTATTTATTTATTTGTACTATAATAAATTTTTATTATTCTAATTATAATTATTATTATTATTAATTATTATTATTATTAATTATTATTATTATTATTATTATTATTTAAATAGTGCCATTTGGTAGTCCGCCAGGCAACGGTCTATCATTTCCATTTAATAATGCTTCATATAACAGATTAATTGACGAAGCAAGAACGCAATCTATACCGCAGGGTGACAGTGGTGTGAATGCTATATTACAACAGGCCCAATCTCAATTGGGTCGTGGTGGTAGGAGGTAATGATATTTTTAGTATTTTTGTCAAAAAATAATGAGTAAAATAATAATATATAGATGGGTATAAGGATTGCTAATAGCATTAAAGCTTTATCAATTTTGTGGTTATAATATTGCTTGAAATAATTGGTAGTGCATAAAAAAAAAAAAAGAACTTTTATTAATAAATGAAGCATACGTATTGCTTCTTTTCATTTGAAAAATAAATTTCAGAGTTTTTTTTTTAAATTTTTAATTAAAAAATTATATCGATATTTAATCGATATTTATGTAAGTGGTTAAAAAAATTTTATTGGTCATAGTTAATGCTGAGAATTATATTATTTTGATAAAAATTCTGTTTTTTTTTTTTGACGTATTTTTTTTATGGATTTAGATTAGAATTTAAAATAATATACTTTATATAAACTATTAGTACTTTTGTTTTTAAAAACAGTATTTAATAGTTTTTTTTTAATTTTAAAGGTGAGGCCATGCCTCTAAACAATATTTAATAGTTACAAATCCAAGGTTTTATTTGTTATTATAAAGATAGGCTACTATTTATAGTTTAGTTTTTTTTTACATAAAGAACAGTAAATTAAAACTATAACAAAGCAAGGATTAGATAGTTTAAAAAGAAATTTAAAACTATAAAGTAAAACTAAACAAGCAAAAAGAATTTTTGAAAAAAGAATATATAAAAAAGAACAAAAGCAAAATAAATACTAACAAAAATTAACAAAAATCAAATCAAGTGTAATAAAAATAAAAGAATTTAATAAAATCAAATCAAAATATAGAAATATAAAAGCAGATTTACAAAAAGCTAATAAAAATAATTAAATACAATAATATTATATTTATAACAATTAAAAATAAATATAGTTTAAAATATTTTGCTATAATAAAAACTAAAAAATAAATATTAATAACAGAAGTTTTAATATATTTTTTTTACTTTTACAATATTATATAAAGGTGAATTTTTATTAGATATTTAATACATTCTTGGTTAATAAAAGTATATTGAACTATATATACAACTTTTGGTTGTCTATTTAAGTAGTCTGCTCAAAGGTTTTATATTATATATTATATCTGTAATCTAATTAGAAGATTATTTATTTAAACTCTCTGATGTTTTCTGTTTTGTATTATTATCACAATCATACTAATACATAACCTTATTCTGCTTCAATTGAAGACCATTCAGATCAATATTTGCTAAACTACTTGTGTTCTTTTTTTATAGATAATATAATAAAGTTTTTATATTATCAGATTACTCTAAAAGAGGTGTAGTATATATGTTTTAATTTTTTTATGTTTATATATTTTTAGATTTGGCTTCAAATATCATTTGTAACAATCAAAATAACTATTAACGGTTAGAATTAACTATTAAATTATATAAATTCAATATTCATATCTTTACAAGATTCATTTTAATCCTAATACCTGTATCAAATCAGTTTTTTATCAATTTCTTTTCAACTATCAAACCAGTTAGTTTGGATGGATTGTTGTATTTAGGCTTTAGATATCTTTTGATTTTATTTTTTTAGTTTTTAATTTTGTAGTATAAAACCTTTTTTTTTAATGTAATTCTAGTAGTTAATAAATTCTTCTTATTTTAGAAATTTTGTTCAGTTCTTCAGTTTTTAGTTTTGGTTTTTCTGCAGTATTTTAAAAATTTTTACTATCTACTTGTTTAGATCTAGTCAAATAGTTTTAAAAATTCTGATTTTTTAGATTTAGATCACTCAAGAACTTTTATTTTAAGATAGTAATACAAAGACTACAGATAATATATCCAGTATTCTAATTTAGATAGCTATCATCTAGATTACCTGCAGGTAGATGACAACCTACAGATCACCTATAAGTCAACTCATAGATTAAACAAATATCTTTTTTTTTTTTACAAATCTATATTAAAATCATTAGATTTATAGTATATAAATTATTTTTTAATTATATAAACTACTTGTATTAATCATCTCACTATTCTTTTAAGATTAATAATTATAAAGCTAAAAACATTTAATATTGTGAAATATCTAAATAATTTATACAAAGCATATAAATAAAATTTTATATAAGAATTATTTGAAGTTATCTATACAAATATAATTAGAAATACGAAGAACCAAGCTAATGACAATCAGATCAAACGTATATAGCAGATTATAGAACCTTTCGCAGCTATAAGAACTGAGCTTAAAACGGCGAACGCATCTACAGAAGGACAGTTAGGGGTGTGCCATTTATTACATAATATTTTTACTTAGTAGCCACTCCTATCCATATATGGTGTGATCATCTCTAGCTTGATTCTTATTGGTCTGTTTAATTAATTATTAAAAAATTTTTTAATTTTTTAAAAATTAAATAACTTTAGATCTATTAGTCCAATTTGAATGATTTAACTGTCAAAATGTTCATCTTGATGAGATGATTTTAATAAATTCAAAATCATCAAAATTTAATTACAGAATTCCAAGATTGTTAAGATTATTTGTACAAATTTATATATAATAAAATTAGTTTTACTATATATAAAATAGTAAAAAACCTTAGCGATCTCAGAATCCTATAATTAGATTTTAATGATTTTAGATTCATTAGAATTGTCTTATCAAGATGAACATTTTGACAGTCAAATAATTCAAATTGGACCAGTAGATCAAAAGTTATTTAATATTAAAGATTTATTATAATATATATATTAGGAATCGAAAACCAGTTTAAGTCTGAAGCTTATTATTGTCAAATTATACAAATACATAAATGTGTATAATTTTTTATACAATGTACAAATATAGATACATGGCGTTACAGACAGAAAATATTGAAACTACTTTTTTGATTTTTTTATTATAAATATATCAAAATTGTAATTTTAGTTATTAAAACACATAGAAGTATGAATCCTCCGCTTCGCTCTGGATAATAATTTATATTATATATTTTATATATTTGATTATATATTATTAGTGTTCAAAAAAATCCGGCTTGAACGGCTTATAAGCCGTGTAACTTAAATATGCAAGGGGTATGCAAGGGGTGCATATGCATGTGTTGTAGGTGGGAATGGAATTTAAGTGGATTTGGAATTTTCTAGTTAAATTAGGGTTAGCGTTAGGGTGTACATATAATAAAATCAACCCCAAAGCGGGGGTTTTATATATAAATTCCGAATCCACTTAAATTCCGTTTCCACTTACAACACATGCATAAATTATGCAAGGATGCATATGCATACATAATTATACAAGGGGTGCATATTTATGCAGGGATATGCAAGGGTGCATATTTATACAGGAGGTATGCAAAGGGTGCATATTTATGCAGGAGGTATGCAAGGGGTGTATATTTATGCAGGAGGTATGCAAGGGGTGCATATTTATGTAGGAGGTATGCAAGGAGTGCATATGCATGCATAAGTATGCAAGGAGTGCATATTTATGCGGGAGTATGCAAGGGGTGCATATGCATGCAGGGGTATACAAGGGATGCATATTAGTGAAGAAGTTATGCAAGGAATGTATATGCATGCAGAGGTATGCAAGAGATGCATATTAGTAGAGAAGTTATGCAAGGGGTGCATATGCATGCAGGGGTATGCAAGGGGTGCATATTAGTAGAGAAGTTATACAAGGGGTGCATATGCATACAGAGGTATGCAAGGGGTGCATATTTTATAAAAATTTTCTGTCTTTATATATATCCCTTAAACCGTCAGGTTTAGCGGCTAAATATAAACGCTAAAATTTAAAAACAGTTATATCTGATCTAATTTTATTAAATCTTAAAATTTTGAAAAAATATTTTATATAC